TGATTCTTCTAAAAGAGGGCAACCTTTCAAAGACATTCTTTTAATCAAGCCTATTTAGTATTTGTTTTTCTTTTCTACTTTAAAATTTTTATCAAAACAACTTTTATTGATGTCATAAGCATACATAATTGAGTAGTGGTATTCAAGCACACTTATATTGTGTGTTTATAAACTCAGGCTATTTAGGATATCCACAATCACTATCATTCTCATTTCTTCGTTGAGGAGACATTCAAAATCCATTCCATGAGATGGGGCATAGGGACTAGGAAAGGAGACAGGAAGAATACAAGTGATGTAAAGACAGAAATGATAAAAATTAGGAAAAATGGAGAGGGAGCTTTAATTGGTGATGAATGAAAGAGGTCAATACAAAAGGAGAGGGTGGGAGGAGCCATGAATTACAGTAAGGAGATTCAAAAAAGTCTCAAGGAATTATATTATTTCATATTTAACTTCAGTTATTTATACATACATGTGTATGTACACATATACATGAACACATAAACATGCACATCTCTCTCTCTCTCTCTCTCTATCTATCTATTATCTATCTATCTATCTATCTATCTATCTATCTATCTATCTATCATCTATCTATCTACCTATCTATCATGTATCTATCAACTACTTATCATCTATAAGATACATATGAAGCTATATCATTTGGACTGACAGTATTTTTCTCAAAAGCCATAGATCATCTAATAAGATTGCCAGCTCAGGGGCACATTCAAGAGACTCCCCAAATAGGATAGGCTCTTTTTGTGTCCTATCTATTTCACACTATACAACACATACCATCAACTCTAGTCATCCTTCTGTGTGACAGAGAGCTGGAGCTCATTTCTCCTGTGTGGCTATGATTTTTGTATCAATTATCAAGCATGGCCCACCTCTCCTTTCACATTCTCTAGTCAATTTTCACGGATTACGTTTTACAGAACGCTTTAGTTTAGTTTCTGAAATATTTTCTGTTGTTTATTTAATTAATGAACAAGGATTATTGTTAACATGGGGCACTGCATGCATTCTTAGTAGCATTTGGCTCTCTCCTGTTAAGATAGGATTGAGAGTGAAATCAAGAGTGGAGAAGTGATACGAGAGCCTGCCAAACACACTCAGGAACAGCCTGGATTCAAGCCTCAGTGCCAAGCAAAATACAGAATTAAAACAAGACATCTTACAAGTGATTCTTTTTAGAACTATGAAAAGCAGATAATAGGAAATAATCTTGTTTCCCATCAGACATAGTGCTTCTTGCAGGAAAATGTAGTGAGTGGAGTGGTGGGCTGTGTTCCGGCCGCCCCAGCTCCTGCATGGCTAGCTTATTTCCCGAAATAATTACACAGAAACTGTATTCTTTTAAACACTGCCTGGCCCGTTATCTGTAGCTTCTTATTGGCTAATTCTCACATCTCGATTAACCCATTTCTAATAATCTGTGCAGTACCATGAGATGGTGTCTTACCAGGAAGGACTCTAGCCTACATCTGTCTGGGGTCAGAGAATCAAGGTGACTGCCTGACTCAGCTTCTTTCTCCCAGCATTCTGTTCTGTCTACTCTGCCTACCTAATTTTCTGTCCTATTAAAGGGTCAAGGCAGTTTCTTTATTAACCAATAGACAGATGACTCTCCTCCATCAAGAGGAAACAATCATTATCACAGAAGCAGGAAGACATCTCCTTACAGGATAGTGGGCCTTTATGAATAGACTTTATAAGATGTCTGCTATAGTCACAAATTTGTTATTTATTCCCACATATGTAGCCCTGATAGGAAAGAAATCAACTACACTTTAGCAAAAATGAATAGGAATGGTAGATGATCAAGTTTCTTTTAAAAAAAATATTTATTGATTTATTGATTATGTATACAATATTCTGTCTGTGTGTATGCCTGCAGGCCAGAAGAGGGCACCAGACCTTATTACAGATGGTTGTGAGCCACCATATGGTTGCTAGGAATTGAACTCAGGACCTTTTAAAGAGGAGGCAATGCTCTTAACCTCTGAGCCATCTCTTCAGTCCCCGATGATCAAGTTTCTAATTTCTTTGAAATGTTAACAGAAAAAAAAAAGAGGAGGAAGAACAGGAGGAGGAGAAAAAGAGAAGGAGAAAGAGAAGGAGAAGGAAGGAGAGGAGGAACAGAAGAAGAAATAGGAGGAGAAGATCAGTCTCTTCAGAGTCATTTAAGGCTTAGAGTTTATCCACAGTACCCAGCAATGCCAATTTTCTTCTTAGAAACCAGCTATGGCTCTAATACATCAGCAGTTTTGAGCACTGACTTATCTGTCCAGCCTGGATCATTAAAGTGCAGGTGCTAAGTGGAAGGTCTCTTCAGACTCAGCCTTTGACAGGCACCTGGTAGTCCCTGCAGTTGTTGGAATTGGCTGTTCTGCAGAATTCATCCTGAGTCAAATACTCAAATTCTCCCGACAGGGGCAGTGGGTGTGGATGGGAGAGAGTGGGATTGGAGCTGTAGTCACTGCTGTGCTTGTGAAAGTCATAGAGAAGGCTTCCTTGGAATTCCACAAATGCTCATTATGATTTTTTTTTAACCTGGGTTGCTGATGTGTAGTAAATGTAAGTGATTTGTAGACTTAGTTTAATAGTTCACTAAAATAGGATAGATTCTTTCTTTAGTGAAGTGTTATTATTTTCTTTTACAAAGGGATAAAAAGAGGTAGACATATTGCCAATCACTCTTATGTTGTAAGGAGTGCCCACTACAAATTGGCACCAATGTGGCCAACTAAAATTCACTTAAAACCTGAGAGTTTGGGAAGGAATTCTAGGGACAAAAAGAAAAAAAAAAGAGTAGCACAGCTTAATGCCATAGCTCCTTTAAGAGAGGTTTTACTGATTAAGCAGTAGCAGAAAAAAACGTCATAAGGTTTTGAAAAGGCAGCTTCCTGGGCTGTGTTGCCAGTAGGAACTCTTATTCTTTTAGGAGGTTTGGCTACATAGCACTTGAATGGGTTTTGCAGTCCCGGGTGCTTGTATGCCCACTTGGGGTCAGGAGGAAAGTAGCTGAGTCCATGCCCACAGCTCAGCACTCCCACCTGGGCAGGCAGCAGAATCAGGTCTACTAGGCGTGCATAGGCTGGAGAGCACGGTGAATTCCTGATGTCATACACAGAGACATTTTGAGGCCGTGAAGTGTGCTGCATGGCAGATTTGGCTTTCACGTAGATAAAAAGGGATTATATGCTGCACAGTGCTACCCAGAGTTGAGGTGGTGAGAATGGCTCCTACCCAGTGGTCCCAAAGCCTGCAGTGAACTACCTTCACCATATTTAAAGCCTGAGAGAGGCGGAGCCAGTACTCAGGGCCTCTGAGACCAAGCTGCTTAGCATTTTAAACAGTGCTTCTCGACAGAAAAGGATTTCAGATACACATAGGACAGATTCAGATGTAAAAGATCACTAAACGAGACACAGTGTGTTTAAAAATTTTACGTAGGCTTGGGAGAGAGAAGTCATGTAGCCCCACCGGAGACATACGCTGGAACTTTAACTGGTAAACCATAGCCACGAGCGATACACAGGTTAATGAAGATGGGTTAAATTAAGATGTAAGAGTTAGCCAATAAGGATGCTCACCTTCTTAGACCTGGATGGAGGAGGGAGGACCCTGGACTGCCCAGAGGGCAGGGAACCCTGACTGCTCTTCGGACTGAAGTGGGAGGGGGAGAGGAGTGGGGCGTGGGGAGTGGGGGGAGGGGGAGGGAAAACGGAGGTGGGGAGGAGGCGGAAATTTTTAATAAAAAATTAAAAAAAAGAAGCTAGAGATAATGGGCCAAACAGCAATTTAGTTAATACAGTTTCTTTTTATTTCGGGGCTGAGTGACCCGGAGTAAATAAGCAGGCTCCTCATACAGCACTTTTATACCACTGAGTTGTTTCATTGCTTAAAAATTCAAGATGTCTTTTATGATAAGCTTTTCCAATTGCTAATCTACACATGGAAACAAATACTAATTTATGAAAACTAGTGATACTCAGCCAGAGACACTCAATTCAGAAATGCTAATATATGAAATGCTAATATAGACATGCTAATATGTGAAAACCAGAGATGCAAAACCTAGAGTTTGTGGGTGTTAAGAAGAAATTGCAAATACATTGTGCCTTTAAGTTTTATCATTAAATACTAAAATGACTGCTTGTTGTAAATGAATTCCAAACTGACAGGTTTTCTATTCGAAACCCAATAACATAATTTTTCAGTTAAAGTATACACAATGAATTAATCAACTCTGAGTTATACTATTCAAATTTATTTTGAATAAATATGAGCAAACCTCCACAAGGCCACTAGATGGCAGACAGGCACTGCGATTGTGGTGGAAGGCTGCCTCAAAGTATTACTGTGTTCAGGTCAAGGAAAGCAAATGCTACCTATATTTGCATAGTGTTTTCATACCAATTAATACAATGACATAGCTCAGTTTTTATCTTTTCCTGCCCTCTTCAAATATAATTGACAGCTATTTATTGGAATCTTTATTGAAAGATTCTCCCTTCTGAAGGAAAGTTGAAAAATCATGTATGATTGGCTTGTAGCATTTATTTAAAACATCTGATAGAAACACAACATAGAATGTTCTATCTAATCATCTTTTATTTTTAAATTTATTTGATAATTTTCATGCAACTAACTCTCAAAGCCATATAAAGGCCCTTTAAGATTCTCTAACATTTGATGACACTAATCTCCAAAATTCATATTAATGAAGGCCAAGAACTCCCAGCGACTAAGTGTTCTTCTACTGTTTATAGTTTTACAAGGTAGAATAGCCATACTCCTAACTTTAATTGCCCATAAGATTTAAATGGCCTGTGGCAGTAAAGAAATGTCATTTTGTCCTGGAGACAAATCATGGGAAATTCCAGTTTCTCATATTGTGAACTGGAAGCCGTATGGAGACAGATCTGGAATGGGTCAACATTTTTATCCAATGTATAACTGAGTAATACGATGAAAACCAGACTTACTTGTTCTAAAATGTTCTGAAGCCTCTCTATCTCACAGTCTATCACAAACTTCTTCTCTTGTCTTCTGTCAAGCTCTTCTAGCAGTTGCCTGTAGCTGACATCGTTAAAATTTTCCACACATATCGCACTGACATGCCATCCATTCTGTCCTGCTTTCTCCATAATAGCTTGAAGGATTGAATATCCTATTGGGGAGAAAAAAACAGTTCATAAAATTATACTTTTAACTTATGTAGAGACTGGATCCATATCAATATTTTTCACATTTTAAAACACCCACATAGATTATTTAGAATCTTGACAATATGACTCTTTATTTAAAAATAATTTTTTTCTTGTTTTCTTTACTCAGGACAACAAACTATCTTAAGCTATTGATTAGATGAAAAGTATACCTTGAGAAAAAAATCTTAAAATCCCTTTATTGGAGAATATTCTATTGCTCTAGATATATTTTTGATGCGATAAAACAACCCCGCTGTACCACTCCCTGTAGTCAATAACAATTTAATGGACCCATTTGTTACTTTATACTCTAAACATAACTTGTTTTGAATAATGGTTTCAATTTTCTCTATTGAACAGGGTATTATCAGAGTTTTTGTTTAACTATGAAAGAAAGGATGTACAAGAAAACAGTACTATGGTATTTATTGAGGTTGTATTTTTGTCAGTCTCATTTGAAAATTCTGACAGATTATGCACAGATGGAATTATTTATTAAGCTTTCCCTGTCCTGGCAGAAGAAGAGTGTGGGCTATGTATGAGGTGAATTGTCAACAGGTAAGGGACTGAGAACACAGATTCATAAGCTCTTAGCGGAGATGAACATAAATATGACCAGAGTCTTAAAGTGCAATAGAAAATGCACATGTGTCTCATAACTATAATAGTAACAGTTGAGCGATAGAAGTAGGAACTCAAGCTCAGCTTCCTCTACATAAGGAAAGAGTTTACAGCCACCTTGGACTACAAAACACCTTGCCACAACCCCCCCCCCCCAAACTTCTGGAAAGTCTGGTGACGTGGCTCAACAAGTAATGGTACTTGCGACCAAAGCCTAGTGATCTAAGTTTAGTTCCAGGTCACATGGTGGAAGGATACAATGGAGTCCTCCAAATTGTCCTGGGTCATTTGCAGGCATACTGACAGACATACACATAAAACAAGTAAACAAGTAAATATTTAAATGCAAAGTGCAATGGCAGCAGTCCTGACAGGAGTTCTGGGCCCTAGTATAGCTTGAGAAATCTTTCTAGATGAGATAAGAAAAGAGTAAACAGAGAAGAAGCCCTTTAAATTGGGTCCAGAAGATTGAGAAAATGTAAGGTTGTTGGAGCTGGGGTACTGGTTAGGTGCTGGATTGCTGCTGGGGAAAAGGGGTGCTCTCTGCCCTGTTCTTCACCCAAATAATCCTACGAGTGGAAGGAGACTATCATCTGCAACAGTGTCTTTATGCCTGTTTCCCCAGTCCTCAGTTTTGAGTTATAACTTGAGAGATAAAGAGGAAAAAGTTTCTTAGAACTGATAAAAAAAATCACTTAAACAAAGATTGGTTAGAATAAGAGCCTGTTAGCCACTTGGGTTTTAACTTTATTGCTTGGCATAAATAAAACATTCTTTCTAGTCTCCTTAAGACTTTAACAGCAGTGTGAGCTCATTCTGTAGTTGTTGCCCCTAGCTTTTTCCCTCTATAGGTTTTAAGATTAGACTAGAGAGTTGGAAGGATTCAAAGGGAAAATTTAATGTGAACCCTTATAAGAGAACACTTATTCAGTGTGTGGGTGACACACAAGTCTCAGGTTTCAGGAGTTTCATTTTAAGGTTCTGTTCTCCTTGTCTCTGAATTCCAAACATTATGATGTTCAGACAATGCCAACAGATGGAACTGATGATGAGATCATATCTGAAATATAAAACTGTGGCAGTCAGAATTCATTTCTATTTAAATGAAAAGAAAGATAGAGGACATGTTAATTACAGTATGCCTATTCTGGATATGTGTTGCTACATTGAGTCTTTCCTTTTGTAGTTCACACCTGTAATTATCTTTTCATATCTTAGCCTGATATTGCCCTTCTCCCACCAGCCTGAAAACCTGTTCAATGAATGTAATGTGACTGCATGGAAGCGTCTCCCCTTTCCCTTCTTACCTTTTAAGAGATTTATTATTTGTTTATGTAGGTGTGTGTGTGTGTGTGTGTGTGTGTGTGTGTTTGGGTGGATGTAAATGCATACACATGTGGGTACCTACAGAGGCCAAAAGACCTGTAGTTGGGGTTATTTACTTTATTTATTTGTTAGTAGTTGGAAGTGGGTGATGGGGGCCAACCCCCTGTTCTAAAAAAGAGTAAATGCTTCTAACCTCTTAGCCTTCCTTCCTTCCTTTATCTCTCCCTCCGTCCTTCCCTCCCTCTCTACTTTCTTCTTTCTTTCTTTCTTTCTTTCTTTCTTTCTTTCTTTCTTTCTTTCTTTCTTTCCTTCCTTCCTTCCTTCCTTCCTTCCTTCCTTCCTTCCTTCCTTCCTTCCTTCATTTCTTTCTCTTATTCCTTCCCTCACTCCCTCGCTCCCTCCCTCCTTCCCTCCCTTCCTGTATGTGGTATATTTGTGTGTGTATGTTTGTACTCACTTTTCACCTTTGCATGGGACCGTGGAAGCTAAAATTCATTATCAAATATCTTTATCACCCTTCATCTTATGTTTTGAGCCAAGATCTCTCACTGAACCTGGAGTTTGCCATTTCTGCTGGACTAGGTGAGGTAGGGAGCCCCCTGAGTGGGTCCACCACCCTCAGCACTGGGGTCACAGATGTACATTTCCATGCCTGGTTTTTATGTTGTGATAAAGATTTCAACTCAGGTTCTTATGTTTGTAAACACTTTCTCCATTGGGCTCTCTTTCTATATCCTGGGAGTCTATCATTTCTAAATGTAAGAATTCATAACTAACTTCTTCTGTCCCTGGGGCTTACTTCTAATCATAACTGAAGCAAGGTTTTTCTTATTTATTAGCACTTACTTATTAGCATTATTTGATTTGAAATAAAGACTTTAAGAATTAGCAATAAACATTTAATTTTTCTGCTTTTATTTTTATTTATGAACATATCAAAATAATGGTAAGACTTTGTTTGTTTGAATGAGTGCTGCACAGTGGCAAACATGGATCACACACTGCGGAATCATTTACCTGCTCTCTCAGATCAATTTTCAGCTTGGCTCAGCTATCTATCGGCTGCTTCTTCTTCTTCTTTTTTTTTTTTTTTTAAAGCATTATGTGGCTGTCAGGCCTCCTATCAGGACAAGGTGTCCATGTTACTATTTTCCTTCAGACATGACTTTTAGAGTACATAGAGAAATATGCAGGTTGATGAAATTTATACATTTAGACAATGCTGAAATGTTCACACTAACAAAAAACAAAACAAAACCAAGCTTCAAGTGCAGCGTTTCACTGTTGAATTTTTAGATTTAGAAGTGATACGACAAGGAAAATAAGACAAAACACTTCAGGATAAATGTCAACGAAAGGTAGCTATTGAAAAGGCACATTAATCATAGTCAGAAATCAATGGCATCTTTTCAGTGCAGCAGTAAGGTCATCATGCTTATAGTCTCAGAGCCTCGCTGAAGCTTAAGGTCCTTTTATAATGCTGTTTCACTTTAATGCTTGCTCATTATTTATTGATTCTTAGATACGTGTGCTTTTTTATTTCTCACAGTGGCTGAGAATGAAATGCTACTAGGAAAAAATGCTGCATGAGTCTATGATGATGTAACTTGATTGCCATATAAACTAGAATTCACAAGTCTACATCTGACTGTGAGCTAGACCTTCAAAGTATTCAAAATATGAAATATAATGTTGTTAGTCAAAAGTAAATGCTACTTTTTCGACTGAATGTCACATACATAACAATTCATTACTGTAAATAATATTTTACATGCCACTTCAACTTGAAAATATATTTTAATTTCATATACATTGTTGAAAACTTTCTATGTTCAAAATTTTATAAAGTGTATCAAGATCAGCAGAGACACACATTATCTATTTACAATGAATGTAATATCTACAAAACTTATAATTAGGTAAATGACTGTAAGTAAAAACATAGCATTTTGTAAATAAATTCAAAAGAATCAAAGTATTCTGCATTGAAACAGAATGCATCTAACTGCACTCACATTATTGGATTTTTCATAGTTGCCCAAGAACACTGGCAAGTAATATAAAGTATCTAGATAATATTGTCTTATTATACAATGGCTATGTTAAGTAGAATGTCAGCCAGGTTAACAGTCCTATACTATTGCATCCTTGCATACTCAAGGATGTATATTTCATCCATGGAAAGGGACAATTTGTGGATCAATAGCACCTTAGCAGTGCTCTTTCTTCATCACATGAGTTGGGCTTATCTGATTTCTGTTTTCTAAGATGTATTTCATGTCCCTATCTTTATACAAATCAACAGGAGAATAATCAGGAGAAATGCTAGGGAGGAGTTCACTTAAAAAAGACAGGAGCTATATAGATACTATAAAATGTTTCATCTGAATGAAGACCATAAAGTGCCTACTTTGCTTTCAATAGCATAGTTATGAATAGGCAAAACAATGCTTAACCCATAAAGCATGTCCCAGAGGACTAGGTCACTGAGGAGAAAAGGGGATAGACAAAAATACAGATTTATCAATGCATATGATCAGAGTAACAAAGTTGAGGAATGAAGCAAATGCTACATGTTAGATGTGGGGTGGAAAAATGTCTAGGTTATAGAAGCTAGTGTGTTTGAATGTGTGATTTAGAGAGAGAGAGAGAGAGAGAGAGAGAGAGAGAGAGAGAGAGAGAGAGAGAGAGAGAGAGAGAGAGAGATTATCTCGTCTGACGGGTGAGTTTGATGAACAGTCTGCTTCATGCTGTAGATTGAGCTAAGTCAGACATGCAAATAATTCTGAAATTCTTGCTGTGTTTAATGTGATCATGCTGGAAGCACAATATGGATTTAGCAACTATTTAGTTTGTACACTTGCCAAATCTGTTTGGTACTGAAATAACATGTTTAAAGGTCAGAGTCTGAACATGAGGGAACATAATGGTGGAGCGGAGAGAGCAATGAAAGAGAGATCTTTATATAGAGAGCCACTATGGGGTTAGGGAGAAACCTGGTGCTATGCAAATT